GACATCCTTGAGTAGATCAGTGCGCCTGAGCGGCGATGTGATTCTCGCTGTCGCTGCCGTAGTCCCCGTCCTCATCCTCGTAGTCGAAGTCGTCGTAGGCGTCGCCGTTTCCGTCCTCCAGTCGAAGCTCCTCCTCCTTGACACGGGGCTCCTCCCCCTTCAGGCCACCCAGGTAGGGGCTCTGGATGACGGCCACGGCCGGCTCTGGGCTGCTGGACATGCTGGAGTGCTCCGACGGCATCTGCGGTGAGGGCATGCCTGCCATAGAGAGGGCGCCTGGGTAGACCACCCCCGCTGAGGGCAAGGGCAGCTGGCCTTGTTGCCTGGAAACAGACAAAGGAGAGTAGCGAGGGTCACCACGCGCCAGCAGACTGAGATCCAGCCCTCCCCGGTGGCATAACATGACATGCTTGTGTCCCATACCCCACGGTGAAGTACTGGCGCATCTCCTGGCGCCGGTTGCGCATGATGGCCTTATACTCGCCGATGCGCAGCTTCTTGCCGTCCACCAGGCAGGTGCGCTTGGGCCGTGGCTTGTACTTGTAGTCGGGGTATTTCTCCAGGTGCTGCTTGCTGAGCCGCGCCTGCTCCTCGTAGTACGGCTGCTTCTCCAGGTTGGTCATGGCCTTCCAGCGTGAGCCTGCAGGGCGGCGCCGATGGACACATGCGTTACCAGCCTGCTTGTGCCGTGCGTTACATGTTTTTTGTCTTTACTGCACCGTGCCTGTCCTTTCAGCATTCTAACGGTGCTATGTTTATGCTTACGGATTATTTTGACTGCGGCATCTATACATACACAGTATGTTAATTGTGTCTGCCCTCTCACAGCTTTGCATAACCTCCCAGATCTTGCATAGGCTGGTAAGAGATCTCCAGCACACACATCTTTGTGGGGACCATCCATTCATTTCTATGGCCGTAATCCTAATCCCAACTATGACAACCCCTACCCAGCCTCAACCAAAACCATAAGTAACCAAACAAAATGCAAGTCTTTCGGCATTTTTCATTTTTTGATTGCAGTCACAGATTATACTAAAATTGAGGTTGTCCTTAGGGGGACTAAAAAAAATGTCCTCACAAGACAAAAAGTTGTAGTCCACCCCCCCCACCTCACTTTCTCCAAACAGAGAAGCGTCAACACAAAGTGTGGCTCAAAGGAACCAATGTTCTGCTTCTCTACATAAAAATCATTCTGATTGGCTGGTGCGGGCCAATCACAGCCAGCCCTGCCCCCTACCTCATTCAAGAGCCATTCCTGGCCTGTTACTTTGCTTTTCCCACTGCAGCAGTGTGCATATTTGGCTCCCGTGGCTAAAGCCTGTGTCTGCTGGTCTGCGTGTTTCCATCCAGTTCCAGAAGTACATTCCAGGATGTGTGTATCTGGCTCCAGTTCCGATCTCCAGCGAGTGTGTACTAAATTTACACCCCCGTTCCCACTACTGTGCACGTAATGAGAAAAAGCTGCGGCCAGCGACCAAAACAGCTGTGCTAACGTAGCTCAGAACACGGGCTTATTAGAACCAGACCTGCCCATGGTACCAAACGCTTAGAAGCTCTTTAAAATGTCAAACACAATCTCGGGGGTCTTAATAAAATGTCAGACGGGCTGGAGAGCTTGTTTAATGCATAATGAATTGTATCATCGTCCTGTGAGTCGACTCTCCAAAACAATTAATTAAGTGTGAGTCTCAACGACTCTGCTCACTGGAGCTCCGTCATCACAGATAAGATTCCACCCCCTTGCCGTGACCCCTGACTCCCTCCACCACTGCTTCCCAGCCCTTTTCCGACCAATCATCACGAGGATCCCAGGGGTTGCTGGGCCAGCGTAAGAGATGTGGTACGGAGAGTGATGAGGGACATACTGATCGGCGTTCTGTCTGAGGCAGTGCAGGAAAAAGGATGGGGGGGGGGGGGGCGGGGGTGAATTCTGTAAATGCCAGCGAGAGGATGCACCACGCACACGGAACATGGCACGGATGAGATTTCCGTGTTCTGGGTATCTGGAGGAGGTACGAGGGGAAGCTCAGCCAAAAAGCACACGGAACAAACACGGCGGCGGATTCGGCCCACGCGTTACCCCCCCCACCTGGCCCGAACATGGTCTCACCCAGGATTTTACTGATGTTGGAGTTGTGCATGTCGGGGAAGGCCTGCAGGATCTTCCTGCGCTCGTCCTTGGCCCAAACCATGAAGGCATTCATGGGGCGTTTAATGTGCGGCTCGCTGCCCCCCCTGCCGCGCGCCTCCCGGAACATCCGTGAGTCCGACACGCTGGGGCTGCCTGTAGGGGGGTGGTGGTGACAGGAGGGGCGGGGGGGGGGGGGGTGAGCCTCACATGGACACTCAGCTTCACAAACACACATACTGATTCTCATAAAGACAGACAGGCTGACACATTAACACACACACAAGTCCTCATGCTGAAAACCACCGTGTGACTGAAGTCAAGTTCTACACAGAACTCGGGACCAAGTGTAACGAGCAGCAGTGGCTGGCTGGAGCCTCTGATCTAATAATCTGTACTGGATAATCTGTACGGGTGACCTTTTCAGTCAGACCTTTTCATACACGCCCCCCCCCGGCACCTTGCCAGTGCCCATGAGCGACACGCCCCTGAGTGGAGCCCCGGCTGGCGGGCAGGAGAACGCCGTCCTTCTTGGCATCACCCTGGACCTGAACGCCAGCGGCCCCGTCTGAACGCAGCCCCGCCTGAACGCCGCCCCCGCTCACCGTCGGAGTCCCCACTGATGTTGAAGTCCATCACAGCGTGGCTGAACTTGTTCTCCTCGGACTGCTTCAGCTGCTGCGACAGGTTCTCCAAGTTGCCCTTCTCCTGGATCAACGCAGGGACAGAGAGGCCAGGTCAACCACCCCCGCTCACTCCCCCTCTATCCAATGAAACAAACAGTCATGGCATGGCAATCAGATCACAGCTAGGTGTGTCAAAGGGGTTTGTTAGTTTAATTTGGTGCTGGTTTTCACGGCATGGGGGAGGGGGGTGGTTTCATATCACATGCCTCACACAGATGGAAGAGGGCGCCGGAGAGCACACAATGTACACGTGCGAGCGATGAGCTGATTACATCTCTGTGCACATCAACGCGAGCTCTACCTGCGGTCCATACCAATCGGGACCGAAGGACGGGAGGTGACGGGCAGCTCCGCAGAGCACCAAATCACAAAGCCCAAAAAGTGGTTGAGAGATCGGACCTCAGCCACCACTTGGTCTAAAAACGCCACCTAGTGAGGCTGAGCTTCAGCCTTCAGCTTCATATGCACGGGAGGAGCGGGGCAAATAATTCTGTCCACCCCCAGATCTAATCACATTTCAGCAGTCCCAGAGCGAGCGATGCATGGAGAACTGCTCAAAAAGCCTTTACATCCCCCCCCCCCCCCTTTTCATGGTGTCGATGGGGGTGTTGCTGTTGGGCTTTGCATGTGTCGGCCCTTCCAGGAATACTGAGCCGGCCGCCATCTGCGTGGTGCTGCCCCCCCTCCCTGCATACTTAAAGCAGGGGGGGCTACCCTGGGTGCAACGCATTAGACTGAGAGTGCCCTAGGAAGGAGAGAGGGCCAGACCACACACCCCCACGGGTATTTATTACACTCAATAAAAGGCTGATTTACCGCACATTTACATGGCTAATGCAGGCGTCCTGCTCATTTTCATTTCAGACCTCCGTCTCTTTGCATATATATTGGGAGCCCCCCACCCTGAGTGCTGCATTTACAGGCTAATTATACAATTAGAAGCTATCCCCAAAGCCTGGCATCTATAAAAACACACTCAACAGCGCGCTCTCCATTAGAACATGACCCAGCTGCCCGGGCCGCCCCGGCAAAGCGCATTATTCTATTCGCAGACGTACAATTAAATAGTTCCTGCGAGTTAATTCACCAGATTTAAATAAACCTGCCGCAGAAACACACGATCCGCCGGCAGAGAGCAGGGACGTGGTGCAATAGAGGGGGGAGCATTATCCCAGGGGATGCTGTGTCCAAACACGCACTTTGAGGGTGTCACCCCATGCAGAGAATATAGAAAGGAGTGCGTTTGGCCAGGGGGTGATGTTCCCACACGTGCGGGTGACACCCGAACTGAATACACAGTGAGATCAAACTCTGATGTTTGACCTACTCCCATACTGCACTCCCATCAGCCCTTCTGGGGGGGGGGCATGTCTGCCCCTTAATCCGACCTGCAATTCCACCTCCCTCCCCCAACCCATCTGTGGGCATCATTCCAAAAAAACATCTCCACAGCTTTCAGACACAAAGAGGAGAAGAGGGGAGAGTCGTGTGTTAAGGAGCATCTGATGTGCATTAAGGCAGATTATGGGGCTGGGGGGGGCAGAGATGGGAATTATCCTGATGCAGTGTCAGGATGGCCACTAGCACTGGGGCTCGGTGATTGACTAACCGCTGTGCCTGCTGTCGGCCCCTTATCTCAGGTTCTTTAACCAGCACGGCCCGGTGTGGGTAACCACATAACCACAGTCCTTCACCACAGACCAAAGGTCACATACTAGCGGTAAATGTGACAACCACAGCCGATGACAGGAACCTAGTTAAAGCCTGTGTGATATATATGTGTGTGTGTTTGCATGTATATATACACACAGAAATGAAACCATACTTGTAGAGCTTACAAATCAACAGATGTTTCAGGCACTCTAAATAATTAACTTAACATTGGAGACAAGGCCAGCCTCTTAACTACCACGCCACCTTCTGACCATAAAATAAACAGCCTCTGTCTCACTGCAGTGTTCAGCTGCCTAGACAGAGCTGGCTATACAAGTAGATCAGGTGACTCGCAGTCTCACAGAGGAGGGAGGAACGTGTGCTGCAGACACGATCACTGGCTCAAGGAGGTGTGTGTGTGTGTGTGTGTGTGTGTGAGAGAGAGAGAGAGAGAGAGAGAATGGATTTCTGAATATATATGTGTGAGGCAGACAGGCTAGGTGTGAGAGTGTGAGTCAAAATTGGTGTGTGTGCCTCTGTGTGCGTTTGAGAATGCCTGAATGAGCAAGTGATGCCTGTGTTAATGTCTCTGTGTCCATGTGACAGAAAGAATGTGTGTGTTTCCGTGTACGTTTAAGAATGCTTGAGCTAGCATACAATGCACGTGTTAAATGTGTCCCTGTGACAGAAGGACTGTCTCTGTGTGTGTGTATCTGTGTGTGTGTGTGTGTGTGTCTGTCTGTGTGTGTGTCTGTCTGTGTCTGTGTGTCTGTCTGTCTGTGTGTGTCTGTCTGTGTGTCTGTGTGTATGTGTGTGTCTGTGTGTCTGTCTGTGTCTGTGTGTGTCTGTCTGTGTGTGTGTGTCTGTCTGTGTCTGTGTGTGTGTCTGTCTGTGTCTGTGTGTATGTGTGTGTCTGTGTCTGTGTGTGTCTGTGTGTGTCTGTGTCGGTGTGTGTATTTCTGTGCCCAGGAGATGTTAGATGTTAAATGCCATCAGTGCAGATGCTCCCCAGGCCTCTCCAGCTGACTGCAGTGTGTTTAACAAATAAGCGCAGTTTAGCCCCGCGTCCCGGGAAACAGCCGGTGTCGCCTCGCATCAGCGTCTGGCGCCGCGTCTCCGCAGACGGAGCGGCGGCAGGGCTCCCTGCCCCAGGAGCTTCTCGCAGAAACATTAAATATTTCACAGGAATATTGTTTCTTCATTTTTTTTTACTCTTTTGTCGCTTTCCTAAAGTGCCTAGTTGTGATTTGGCAGACTCCCGCCGCTTTCACAAGTGGCTTTCTGCTCACTGACCGCCCAGATTTTAACACGCTGACCTGCAGCGTGTCCCATTCCCAGACAGGGGTATCCTTTAATCCCAGATCTGTGTTAGGAATCTGTCAAGCAGAAGGCAGGCCTCAGACAGTATGCTTAATGCCCACACAAAGACGCCACATGGGTCTAAATGGGGATGTACACAATCAACAGACATAGTGCTCAACCGCAAGGTTGTAGGTTCGAGTCCCAGACGGGGCCCTGCTGTTATAGTGCAGCACCACACCACTGGGTACAGTGTAACTCTTTGGAAAAGTGTTGGTTAAGCTTTTTCTATGAATCAGATTAATTTGCACACTCAATCCCAGCCGGCCTGCCCTGGTTTGCTTACAGAATTGGCAGGAATAACTGCGTGTTTAAAAACAGAACTGAGGGGTGAGGGGAAGTGCATATTCCCGGTGGAGGTCAGGGTTATGTTCGGGCTGAAACCCCAGGGAGTGCAACCCTGAAATACACACAGACTCCTCCCAACAGCAGGGGGCAGTGTCGGCAAGGGACGCACCTTGTCCGAGCGGCCGCCACCGAGGCCCAGCCCGCTGACGGCGGCCACTTTGGCATCCAGCACCTGCTGCTCCCTCTTCAGCTGCTCCTTCATCTGCCGGGCCTCCTGGAAGGCTTTGGTCACCGCCTCATGGTCGTTCAGGTAGCCGGCCGACGTGATGGATGACAGCAGGTCTGCTTGGGGACAGTGTGGGAGGGAGGATTTGGCAAGGTGCACCACAAGGTAAAGGCATCAACAATGGACCCTCCGGCACCGCGAGATTCACTCTGATCCCTGGGCTGGACTCCCTCTCAATACGGCCATCTACACGCTATTAGCTAACAGCTAGGCTCCGTCTCCCCAGCTAACACATGGCTCTGTGTGTGTGTGTGTGTGTGTGTGTGTACACGCACACACGTGCTTCTACAAGCTAGCTGTAACCCCAATCCAACCCCACTTCTAAAAACATACCTGCTCATGTTGTCCCCCAAGCGCAATGCTTATCCACACATCTATACCATAACATTACCATATGATGATGGAAACATGGTCCGTGATCATGTGACCACTAAGTGCAACTAAAGGGCAGCTATCAGCAAATCTGCACTGTGAGATTATTATACACCCCCCCTTTCTCTGCCCCCTGGCCCCCCACCCACTCCTGATACACCGCTACAACCAAGACCCGCTATCTCGCTAACAGCCCCCAGAACGGTGCATCTCAAACACGATTCCTGGCTTCCGTGATCATCAGCACTTGCATTATTTGCTTGGCTTGCTGACCACAACATAGGCTGCCCCAGTACCAAGCAGGCTTCTGTAGAGGGGGGGTCATCAAACTCCCCATCTCCGGGTAAATTGAACCCTGAAGAGCCCTGGGGCAGATTACGGATCTTAATCTGCAGTAATCCAGCAGCAAATGCAGTCTCAGGCTAGATTAAGTGCTCAGATTTGTAATGACAGGACTGAACTCTTAAAAAAAAAAAAGTCAAATGGACTTTGGTGGAGGTGAGGGTACAGGCAACCAGCAGAGGTGGGCAGGAGTTAACTACCACCCCCCCCACCCCAGCTAGACCACAGCTGGGTGAGCCTTAGCTGTATCTAACTGCTGGCTAAATCACGGCAGGGCTGTGTGTGATTGGAGGAGCGGTGAGGTCAGAGTAGGGGGGCGGAGCCTGAGGGAGGAGGGGCATGAGGAGCAGCATGGGATTGGGGGAGCGTAAGTGAGGCGGGTGCGAGGGTGGGGTGCTTTACGCACACGACCGGCATGTGCACCAGACCTCGCTGCGGCGGAGTCACGCATCACATCTTGACCTGGAATATCTTAGGGAACAGATGGAAATACTGGTGGGACAGAAGGCAGGGACTAATTGGGATGCAAGCGAGCGGGTCGCCCTGCCGCGTTGCCGGCGTTCCCGGCGTTCCCGGGGATGCTGACAAACTTTACACCCTAATCCGTTTCTGAGAACAAAAAAACATCTGGGCGCCAAATCCCATAATCTGCTGTTAAATCCGGCGGTTTGTGGGGAGGAGAGCGGAGATGAGAGGGGCCCGGGCCGGAGCGGCGGGGGCCGGGCTGCCATTAGCGCCGGGGCCCTGCGTTGTGTGTGAAAGCCAAGTTGTGTAAGAGGAGCCCCCCCGAGCACACGTCCTGCTCGCCTTTGTGCTCTTCTCTGCATCCCCCAGTGTCACATGCCCCCCCCCACCCTCTTCACACCCCAAGGAAGTTCACGCTCCTCTCAGTCACTGGCGGCGAGAGGGCAGCTTTTCACAGAAGCTTCTAGACCAGGCGATCTTCCTGCTCTTTGAGTGTGAGTTGATACCCGCTTCTGTGGTATATTATACACTCCTCCGGCAACACATGACACTCAAATGTACTGAATACTAATGAGATTCACCCCTGTACTGCCTGACTGGTAATAATCACTCTTGTACTGGTGGACTGGTGAGAATCACCCCCATACTGGTTGGCTGGTGATAATCACCCTTGTACTGGCTTGATCACACTGTGCTAACTCTTGTACTGGCAGACCAGTGTGAAGGACCACTTGCAGAATCGC